AAAATCGTAGATCTATAAATTCCCACAGGTCTATTGACTGTCTGTCCTTCCTTAATTTCGAGAACAAAGTGAGATAGAGTAAAATCAAAATCAGATATGGAAAGCCTAGCGGCAGGATGTTTTTAATAAGTATATGAAACTTCCGGTTTTGACCAGAAGTCACGTTACTTCAATTAAAAATTTCCCTCCGAACGGAGTGAGTTAGATAACCGGTATGTCTTTATTGCTAACAGGAAAAGTATGATATTGTATAGGAGCAAGACTACTAAAATTGAGAACATTGTGACAATGTCATACTAAATAATCGCTCCTTAAAATTTAAAATTAAAATTTTAACCAAATTTTAATTTGGTTGCGGCAATGGAACACGTGAGCTATCTGCCGAAGAGGATGCATCTCGGGAAGACTTTTACGGAAACTGGACCCTATTTAGGTGTTACTAACGTGAGGAAAACCTGGAAAACTTTACGTAGGTTGGCCATGCTCAAACCTACGAATATCTACCAGTGTTTGATGGTTTTATCCAGTCGGCTATTGGAGGACACTTATTAGAATTAAGAAAGTAGCGTTCAGAAATTATACCAAAGATGGCGCTATTTGTAAAGCCAAGCAAATCCAATGTAGATAGAAATTACTTAATTTATAAAACTTCAATCGATATTTTGGGATGGGACGTACGGCATTATCTAAGTTAGAAGTATGTAAACGTAACTGCCGAGTTTTGTAGCAATTGGCCGAACGGCCTACGAGTGTACAGCAAACAAACAAACAAACACCCATATATATATATATTATTATTAGTTTATATATCTTAATATAAACTAAAGCAAAATGTTACTTTCTTTCATTTATTTCAGAGTTACAATACTATGGTCAAGTCTACATAGTGGATCATATCTCCCACTCTTTTGAACCATATCTCATTTTTTAAAATAAAATTTAATTTAATGCTTACGTTTATTAACTTATTGAAATTGATACCCTACTGGAGATACACACGACCCTCTTTATTTCCCCACCCCCTCTACGTTTAACCACCAATATTTAATAGCATCAATGCCTCTCACATACAAGGTATCATGCCAAATTTCGTTACTTAATTGTTGCTATATACCTAAAGTTATAGTGTATATCTTTATATCATGTGTATATTCTTTTGTTTTGCTAGAATAAAGCAAGAGTCGAAATCCTTTCGAATATCTTGAATAAGACAGCATTTGAATTGCAATTTACGAGTTCTGTCAATGTAATTGCAGATTATTCGATATTTAAACTAGAGAAAATGGCGATTTGAAAACTGAATTATGTTTTAGCGATATTCCATGATAAATTTACTTTTAAATATTGAGAATTTGCTGATGTTTTGAAATTGGTCTCCTTAAATATGACGTTAACAGTTGTGAATTGATATATCGTCATTACGCAAGAGCTGATGTATATTATCAGAAAAAAATGATATGCAACATCCTAAATACTTTATTCTTGATAAATATTTTCTGGCATGTATTTTTTAAATGATATTCTAATTTTGAGCGGTAGAATTAATGATATTCTACCGAACACTAGTAATTAGTGGCGGGTTTGAGCCTGTCTAATAGGCTGGACACGCGGAGTTTTCCGGGTGTTTTTTTTTGGTGTTTAACATATAAATAGGAGCCATTTTCCTATAGAAAGTTTTTCCAGGAGGCATCCAGTTTGCCACCTGGATTGGCTGGGAAAGTCTGGGCATCCTGGTTCGAGTCCTGACCGGCTCACAAATTTTCACGTATGATTTGATACGGTTAGTTGGGTCTTCTCCCTCGCCACTCTCATCGAATCCATGATTGGAGTGGCCGCCCACAGGAAGACATTTGTCAGGAGTCTAGATATGATGGCAATTTCTACTTCAGACCATTCCTATTCATCACTTGGCAAAAGATTAGGGAAGTCGATGTCCAACTTGTCGAAAAGATGGTGAAGGACCATAACAAAGCCTGCAATAAGTGAGCGAAATTTGCCAGGAGATCCATATTTATGAATGGCTCTATTTATGATTAGTTGAACTGTCTGAAGCTAACATTAAATTGTTCAGAACCATCTCTCTGAACAATTTAATGTTGACTTTCAGACAATATTAATTATTCGGAGTGGACGACAAGAAAAACATTACGAATAGAATCATTTTTTTAGATTTATTATTCTGCACTTTTATTCTCTGCTATATCCTTGTTAATATTATAATTGGATCCAAATAGAAAGGCCATACAATCGGATCCATTTGGTCTCATCCCCGGGCACAGAGAGGCTCCAGAATTTAGCTTATACAGAAATTGTGACGTGAAAGTTGATATAAAATAAAAATTCGGTTTAAAATCTATTATTTATTTATTTTATTTATATACTTGAATGGTTTTTAGAGAAGGTTTATGGAACATTTACGTTTATGCGCGTGTTTGTGTGTGTGTAAGCGATTAGTAAGCATCCCATATTATTTCTGGCCCTAATTGTAATGTATATATCTAAAACACTAGCTGCACTGAATATATAAGATTGCTTAGTCCTTATTTTGATTCTTTTAGTAACAATTTTGATTAAAATAGCGGCAAATCAGGGAAGCAATTTACTATTTAACAAGCGAGGCACGAAATGAGACCAAATAAGTGGCAAATATGGAATCTATCGTCACCGAAACCAATAATATATAACCTAAATAATAAATTTATCACCACTTATTTAAAAGTTGCTTTAATTTAGATCGTTTTCCTAGCAAGTTTTGTACGTAGAAAGTCAATTTGAGGATCCTCCTGTATTTATATGTCATACAAAATGGCACTGTCAGCATCTCTTCTATCTGACAAGTTAATATGATTATTATAGCAATAAATTAACAGTCCAAATTCATCTTTTAATCACTAGTAAATGATCTTTCCTAAAATATGCATTTCATTGAACTGCGATTAAAATCAGTAAAATATTGCATTTATCTATATATTTATTCGAGTAAGTAAATGCAAATTTTACTTGCAAAAAATCAAAATATATTATTCATTACTATATTAAAATCTGTTGCCATTTATAGCTTGTTATATACTCGAATAGATTTTATAATATTCTAGCATAAATTTGCCTTAATTAATGTTTAATTAATTAAAAGAAATTCCTTTAAAATGTTTTAATTCTTTTTTTTAAAGTAAGAGGAAGAGATTCTTATCATAATCTAAACAAATAGACTTATGATAAAGACTGTTTTTTTTAGATCATCTATGCAAATTTAAATGGCTAAAATTTTAATATAAATTGGAAAAAATGCATGTAAAATAATTAATTTTTATCATTTGAATTATTTAAATGAGTATTTCTCTTCTTTTGTAAGTGATTTTTGATCAAATATAGTTACTGATAGCAGTGGCGAGTTATCTTACACGCAAAAAAAGGGCAATCGCTCGAGGACCCTACTAACAAGAGGCCCGAAACAATCATTTTATAAGAAAATATCTTCCCCAAAAAAACTTCTCCAGAAGTATACACTGCACACGAGGCCTCTTAATACAGATTAATCTGGGCCCTATGAAGCAATGACTGACAATTTCGAATCGGTGGGAATTAGATAAATATTTTAGAGAGGAAATTAAATCGAATTTAGATTAAAATAAAATGTTTAATAATTTTTCTTTAATAAAAATTGAAAGTGTTTTTTTTTCTTTTTATATTTGGATTAAAATTTATGAAAATTACTTGCAATTTTACTAGAATTTTTAGTATTATCGGAGGACCTTCTGTCTTATTATCTGATGATGACCCTGGGGCGAGATGACTAAATGTAAATAAGCATTGGATCTTATGACTACATTCTTTAGTCCTTGGATAAGATCTGGAGCATTTCATCGTTCGATTGGTAACATTGATATAATTATTGATATTATACAGCAACCGAAACATTATTGGCTTTTGTTGTCAGGCGATTCCCGGAAGGATTAAGAAATAAGTACAGTACATATAGGCCTATATATACAAACTGTAATTCTCTATACACTAATTAATTCATTTATTAATAGTTGAATAATATATTTTTAAAAATAAACATTCGATATTTATATACAAAATGTAATTATCTAGAAAAAACATTAATGAAATATTATCATTAAATTATTATTAGTTAATTATTCTAATAAACTAATTCTAATAATTTAATATTCTAATAAAATCTGATAATTTTCACGTGGAGTTTCTTGGGTTTTCTTCACGTTTGTAACACCTAAATAGGGTCATTTTCACATAGAAAGTCCTCTCCTTTTCACGACAGATCGCCCATGTAAAATCAAATACCTTTAACTTTTTAAAACCAAACCAAACGTCTTAATAGGAATTTATAGTATTATACATAATTTTATTGTTATTAATTATAAATTCGACACGTTTTCTTCATTAAAATACATCTTCAGCAATGTTTTAAAGCTTAATTAATGCTTAAAGAAGAATTCTGTGCCATTAGGATGTATTGAATACGTTGCAAAAATAAGACGTTAAAATAATTAATTATTATTGTTTTATGTTATATTTTCATTTCAAAGTTGTTATTATAAATTATCACTAGTTAAACTGTCAAGGAAAGACCATGGATTTTGATGATTCAACTGATGAACTAACAGGGTTCATCAGTTAGCCGTGGCCTCCCTGAAATCTCTTGGAGCTTCTCATATAATAAGTATGGAGTCAAGGAAGTTCCTGGAATCTTTCCCTGATTCCTAGTGTATTATACTTTATAATAAATATTCTATATTAGAACTGGCTTTGTAATCATTCAGTACAATAATTAATCGGCTTGTTAATGTAGGAAATGCTGATAAAATTAATGATAAAGAATGATCTCCTTAATGAGATTCTTTCATCAGTTTAAGGGGGTACCAAACAAATTACAGGCTTGATTTTTCTCTAAACATGTCCTTGGAACAACGATCGCGATTATATCGAGAAGATATAACCTATTTACGCCGAAAATATTGAATGTTAAATGAACATACTTGTCCAATAAAATAATTTCGTCCATTTCTATTGGCTTGACTTCCGAGCGGATTCGTTCCTGAAAGTAAAAAAGTCAGAAATTAGCGTAATCTAAACATAAGTAATGATTTTCAAACGTTCATAAACATCTGATTGGTTATCTTTTCCGAGCTTCAAATCATTGATTGGTTATACATCAAAAGACGTCACGGATAAGGTAAATGAAAAGATTCGAAGCGTGGCATCATTAGCATTGCCATAATTGTCATGAAAGTATCCGTGCGTGTGAGAGGAGAATGGTTCGCCGTGCCTTGCAAGACTGGAAGATCCACAATAAGATGGCTGGGAGAAGAGGCCTTGAGAAGATATCAGAGACTACAACCGCAAAGTTCACACGTTGATCGAATCGAAAAGGTGAGAGAAATACGAAGAACAAAAGGAGGAGCCATTTTAGATCCCGACGACTTGGTCAGAAATATTTTAGATGATAACGATTACGTTTCAGTGGGTAAGATATTGATTTTTATTCTATATTTATATTATTCTTTACGCCTTCTGTGCTTACTGAGTTGGTCTTTTTTAATCGTACTCGTTATAGTTTCGATCGTGCCCACATGGGAATAGCCGGCCAGTGAGGGACGTGTTTATTTCTGGTTTGCTATAGTCCACGCAGCAAAAGAGTTTCAGATGAAAAGGATGGAAGGAGACACGTGGATATTGACACAAGGATCACAGTAATAAAACGTTTTAAAAAACGAAAGAGATCAGATCCTTATGCCAACTTTTACGTCTCCTTCCAACCCTTTCATCTTACTCTTCCGGCTCAGGCTGACTCATGTCTACTCTTTCGCTGCGTGGACTATAATATATTATAATTATATAATAATTTGCATAATTTTGTATTCGTGTTCCACACATATTCACCCACAAATCTCTGTTCGGCTCAGAGAAACATTTCTATATTTTTACTGTATACAGTCTCCTTTTTTTTTACTATTTTCCCATAGAATTCTAATATAAATTTTTAAAATTCTAGTGTTGGAAACGGATCGAGCCAATCCCGTAACCGGACCTGCCGAAATTCATTACATACCCGAACAAGTGTATCCTTTCGTAAACACAATAAGCTTTTCTAATATTAAAAAAATGCTGTTTTTAAATTTTATAAATAAAAAAAAAATCATTATTTTTTTTAACTTAAAAACCACAGACCTGGAAAATTCAGCCTTCCAGATGAAGTGAGTAAATAATTAAAATTCTAGAATTTAATTAGATCATCCTCTTATTAAATGATTAATAAATATTGTATTAAAAATCTATAGATAATAAGAAAAGTAATTTATTTTGTTAGCATTTATAATCGTTAGTAACTAAAGCCATAAGTAAAAGGAAGTTTTCAATTAAACTTTTAAAAATTCTTGACGTAAATTAATTGTGAAATGTTTTACTTTATCGGTAGAGGATAGTGACATAAATTTGATCGTATATACGATATATTGTATCTAACTTGCATATTGTTTATGATATTCTCGTGTTTATACATAGATTATCACAGGAATAATTATGAAACCTTGTGGCATGACCTTACAGGATAAGAATTCGTAGTGCTTTTTTTTCTGTTTATAAATTCATTAGAATTAATTAGATAAGAGAACCTTCTCAGATAATTACTTGTAAATTCGGTGATAGGGTAATAATAAGAAGTAATTTTAAATTTCCAACATGTCTTTTGCAGTATATATGCTTAGATGGATGCAGCCTGGAACCTGATGCGACACGTTTTCTTCATTAAAATACATCTTCAGCAATGTTTTAAAGCTTAATTAATGCTTAAAGAAGAATTCTGTGCCATTAAGATGTATTGAATACGTTGCAAAAATAAGACGTTAAAATAATTAATTATTATTGTTTTATGTTATATTTTCATTTCAAAGTTGTTATTATAAATTATCACTAGTTAAACTGTCAAGGAAAGACCATGGATTTTGATGATTCAACTGATGAACTAACAGGGTTCATCAGTTAGCCGTGGCCTCCCTGAAATCTCTTGGAGCTTCTCATATAATAAGTATGGAGTCAAGGAAGTTCCTGGAATCTTTCCCTGATTCCTAGTGTATTATACTTTATAATAAATATTCTATATTAGAACTGGCTTTGTAATCATTCAGTACAATAATTAATCGGCTTGTTAATGTAGGAAATGCTGATAAAATTAATGATAAAGAATGATCTCCTTAATGAGATTCTTTCATCAGTTTAAGGGGGTACCAAACAAATTACAGGCTTGATTTTTCTCTAAACATGTCCTTGGAACAACGATCGCGATTATATCGAGAAGATATAACCTATTTACGCCGAAAATATTGAATGTTAAATGAACATACTTGTCCAATAAAATAATTTCGTCCATTTCTATTGGCTTGACTTCCGAGCGGATTCGTTCCTGAAAGTAAAAAAGTCAGAAATTAGCGTAATCTAAACATAAGTAATGATTTTCAAACGTTCATANCTTTGTCGTATCAGGATAGAATTGAGGCGGAGCCGGAAAGAAAGCAATCGTTGTATAATCGTAGGGTTCTTAGGGGAAAAACAGGAAGAAAATATATCGTAAAATCATTTAGCTCAGTTGCTTTCATCTCTATTAAAATTGCTCTTATTTTATAAATCTATTGTTTATTGATAGGTGTGGGAAATCCTCTTCCACCGGAGAAAACTCGAATGCTCCTGGCTCTGAGAATCAATGTGTTATCTAAAGGATACAGCGGGATCTCTTTAGAAACACTGCAACAACTAGTGGATGCCTTTAACGGTAATTTTATTCCATTAAACAAAAATTCGGGCATTAAGATTAAGTAAATAAATAAAATTTTCTATAGCATCTTGTTTGCCGTGGATCCCCGAAAAGGGAAGCGTGGGAGCTAGTGGTGATCTGGCTCCACTGGCTCATTTGGCTCTAGGTTTGATTGGAGAAGGGAAAATGTGGAGTCCCGAAAGCGGATGGGGAGAGGCTAAATATGTAATTGCTTTATTATTATTATTATTTTTATTTTAATATATACGAAATCTTATTTTGACATGTTTTTTCAGGTCTTGGAATCACATGGATTGCAACCGATTCGGCTGAAACCGAAAGAGGTATGTTACGTTTTAATCTTTATTTAATGTTTTAAAATAAAATTAAAGCTAATTATTATTATTATTATTATTATTATTAGGGAATTGCAATTTTGAATGGAACCCAATTAATTACTTCATTAGGAGCAGAAGGTAATTATGAACAATTGAAATTTCTTATAAAAGATTGGTTTGGGTTCTCCCGTTAGTGGGATCCAGTCCCATTAATTAACCCGTAGGAAGGCACCATTGCGAGTGTAATAATATTGTTTTCACCCGCTATTCTTCGCTAATGTAAATAGTGATTTATATCTTACAGAATAATTTAAATTTTTTTAAATATTTTACGCTATAGCCGTACAAAGAGCAAACATCATAGCAAGACAAGCGGATGTAGTCGCTGCACTATCTTTGGAAGTTTTAAAAGGAACCACGCGCGCTTTCGATGGAGGTGAGTCGATAATGTAGACAATATAAACTTCCGACTTTCATTAACTTGTCTTAAATAATTTTATTCGTTCAGATATTCAAAAGATTCGACCTCACAAAGGACAGATACAAGTAGCTAGAAGATTGAGATCTCTCTTACATTCCGACACCTTCCCATCCGAATTAGCGGGTAATAAATTAATAAATAAATATTGTAATATAAAAAGGTTATTAAATAAATAAATATATTATATCTCAACTTTTTTTTTCTTTAATATAGAAAGCCATCGATTTTGCAATCGCGTTCAAGATGCTTACACTTTGAGATGCTGCCCTCAGGTTCACGGAATAGTACACGAGACCATCGGATTCGTCAGAGGAATCATCACCACCGAAATGAACAGTGCCACCGATAATCCCGTATCCTTAGTTGATAATATGAAATTGCTCGAGGTGTTGATAACACGAGTACCTTATCTTAAGGAAAATTAGAACCTTGATGTGGGGACCTATCAATGATTCTTTGGTACAGAAGAATGGATCTCGTTTCTCTTTAGGCATTCAGAATATTGTAACTGCATATGTTAATGTTTTAAAAAAAAGTAAATTACTGTAACTAGATGTAATTTTGCATTAAAGTATGAAGAAATTGTAAACAAAAATTTTACTTAACAAAGTTTTTCAGTTGGTTTTTACCGAACGTGCAGAAATTATATCGGGAGGAAATTTCCATGGAGAATATCCAGCCAAGGTATAAAAAAAATCTGTGAAAATTTCTAATGTTTTAATGCATTAATTACAAATTTCTTTGCCAGGCTTTGGATTATTTGGCCATTGCCGTCCACGAACTTGCCAGCATGAGCGAAAGAAGAATCGAAAGATTAGTCAATCCGGGTAAATATTGTTTCATTTAAATATAATTTTTAAAATAAATTAAATAATTATATACTTTATTTCCTTAGCTTTAAGTGAACTTCCGGCCTTTCTAGTAAAAGACGGAGGATTGAATTCTGGATTCATGTTAGCTCATTGTACTGCCGCTGCTTTAGGTAAGAAGTCTTCAATCTCCCCAGTTCAATTATAATCTTCATTTGTGTTAATTAACGCAGAATTTATAATTTGAATTTTTAGTCTCAGAAAATAAAGTCTTATGCCATCCCGCTTCTGTCGATTCTCTGTCTACCAGCGCTGGAACGGAAGATCATGTCTCTATGGGTGCTTACGCTGCACGAAAAGCCTTAGAAGTAGTAGAAAATGTAGAGAGAGTTATTGCTATAGAACTATTAGCAGCTTGCCAGGCTATAGATCTGTTACGTCCTTTAAAATCTACATGCCCTTTAGAAGCAGTTTATAAACTAGTGAGATCGATAGTGAAGTAAGTCTACGTGTAATTTTTTTGAAAGAATTATTAAATTTTCTAATCGTAATAACTTTATAATCGATTTTACGTACAGAACATGGGACAAAGATAGATATTTAGCACCGGATATCGAAGCTGCCACAGAACTTCTGAAGGAAGAAAGAGTTTGGGAAACCGTTCGACCTTACGTGGATCGTTATTTCAACGAACAAACAGTCGAAACAAGACCATCTTCGCCCACCACTAGTTTCTCGAAATCCATGAAAAGGAAATTCGACGAACTCAACGGATCTTTAGAAGAATATTTCGGTGAAAAAATATTTAAATCCGAATGAAATTTTTATAAAATATTACCATAAAAATTTTTTCTTTAATCTTTCACTAATAAAATTTCCAAAAACATTTAAAAAAATATATATCGATTGGGGTGGTAAAGGAAGCTTCGTCGTAGACGTGGTCATTATTATCTCCATTTGTATCGGCATTACCAATCATTCTATTGACCAGAACAATTTGGAGAGGAAAAAATCCCGTCTAAAGTTGAACGTACGGCTACCATTGGGTTTCGAGGAAGTCGATGAACGATTATAAGACAACACAGGATATGTAATATCAACATATATTTCCTCATCACCACTCATCTCCAATCACTTCTAACCTAATCAACTAACTCTTAACTGTTTTGTTAAAACAATTTTATGTCAGCGACTCTCCACTTTAAATTACACCATTAGATCTTGAAGAGTTCTTAACGTGGGAGGAGGAGGAAGAGGAGGAGGAGGTATATTTTATATCCATTAAAAACAATTAAAATTTAATAAAAATGGCTGAAATTTATTGATTTTTTAATAAAAAAGAATCAAAACTAACGTTTCTGTATTTTCTTTTGTTTTGTTTTCATTATTCAATTCCTTGCTGTTTTCTACCGTGTTACAAATAAATAAAAGTCGTTGTAGTGTATTTTTTGGGTATTCTTTTAACGTTTAATCCAATCAGATGTCTATAAGAGAGCTTCGAAGAGTTGATTGCGCCAAATGATTTTATTTAATAACGGTTGAGTGTTGGTTAGTCTGCTACAGTATATTGATATCGTCGGTCGTTCCTAGACGAGCATCCTTATTCGTTAAGAGGTGAGATGACAGAATTTTAAGTCGTAAAACATCGCGTAAATTTATTAAAATACCACATTTTTCTGTTAATAATTTTACATTTTTATTTAAAGATAAGAAATGCGAGATGTTTTTTATTATTATTATTATTTTTTAAACGTTACTTAAAGATAAGTTACTGTTATCAACGGAGCAGGAAGATAAAATTTTGTCACGCTGATTTTAAAAATTAATTTAAATAATTACAGTAATTAGTCGTTGTTTTATTTTTCGATGTAGTATGAGCCTTACCGATCATTTATCTAACGTAACTACTACGATTGTCGTACCTTATCCACGTCCTGCTATCGTCTTCGCTTACGTATCTGCTATCGTATTCGTAATTGTAGGCTCACTAGGAAATCTCCTGACCATTTTAGCCTTATGGAAATGCGTCAAATTACGCCATGCCACTACAGTATTTGTCATTAGTTTATGTTTTGCGGATTTACTCTTTTGTTTTATCAATTTACCCCTGACTGCTTCACGATATATTCATCAAGCTTGGTTACTAGGTGATACCCTTTGTGTACTTTTCCCATTTTTCTTTTATGGAAACGTTGCTGCTTCTCTATTGTCTATGACTGCCATCACTATAAACAGGTAAGTGTACGTTATATATTACTATAATCTTTCTCAGAAGTTAATTAAGTTAATTATGGTGTAAATTATCGTCTAATTTACTTAATATATCGATAAATAAACATGAAATATATTCTAGTGAAAATTGATAAGAAGGAGTTTTATAACACGTAATAAAATTCATATATCGAAAAAGACAGCTTTATTAAATGATAATTTATTTTCTGGATAAGATATAATTTTACTTAAATATCAAATTAACACTAAATAATAATTACGTTTAAAAGAAAATTAAATTAAAGTATACAAGTTGCAACGATGATTCATACTCGTACGTGATAAATTAATATTAAAACGGTCTTATATTTATATAAACAAGGAAATTCTTGAGATTTTATGGAAATTTAACGAATCATCGTTATTAAATGAAAAATTACTGGAATAAATAAATAAATTATTTACGTGCTCGGCCACAGATAAGAGATAAAACAGCCATTTGGCTGTATTCTTCGACACAAAGATATCATTTATGACTAAATATGCATGTATATATAGAATATAATTTTAAAACTAAAATAATATATTTAGAAACAAATTCCTTTTATTTTTAATAGAAATGATAATAATAATAATGCTGTTCAGAAGGGGGGAAACAACAAAAACTTTTTAAAGATAATTAATTACTTCAAGGAAATTTAATCTGCCGAAAAAATATACGAGTTAAACACGAGATAATATTTTAGTTTTAAAAGAATATATTCTATATCCATAATAAATAAAATATAAGTCAAATTGTTGGTGTTTTAACTATAAACCAGCGACGTTGTGAAGTTACACAATTGATTTACTCGAGTTATTTATTTATTTTTCTAAGATTTTTATTACTAAATTTCCGTTTGAATCAATCCAACATTATCTTCTGCATGTTTTCTCTTATCTAATGCAAATATATGTTTAATTAGTGAAAACAAAATTAATGAAACTTCGAAACTTCCGGACACGAACCTGTCCGAGGTTATGGATTATATTTATAAACAGAAGTTTCTAAGTGCGACTTTTTTTATATATATTATACTACAAGCTGCAATTAATTTACAGAAAATATATTTAAATCCGAATGAAATTTTTATAAAATATTACCATAAAAATTTTTTCTTTAATCTTTCACTAATAAAATTTCCAAAAACATTTAAAAAAATATATATCGATTGGGGTGGTAAAGGAAGCTTCGTCGTAGACGTGGTCATTATTATCTCCATTTGTATCGGCATTACCAATCATTCTATTGACCAGAACAATTTGGAGAGGAAAAAATCCCGTCTAAAGTTGAACGTACGGCTACCATTGGGTTTCGAGGAAGTCGATGAACGATTATAAGACAACACAGGATATGTAATATCAACATATATTTCCTCATCACCACTCATCTCCAATCACTTCTAACCTAATCAACTAACTCTTAACTGTTTTGTTAAAACAATTTTATGTCAGCGACTCTCCACTTTAAATTACACCATTAGATCTTGAAGAGTTCTTAACGTGGGAGGAGGAGGAAGAGGAGGAGGAGGAGGTATATTTTATATCCATTAAAAACAATTAAAATTTAATAAAAATGGCTGAAATTTATTGATTTTTTAATAAAAAAGAATCAAAACTAACGTTTCTGTATTTTCTTTTGTTTTGTTTTCATTATTCAATTCCTTGTTGTTTTCTACCGTGTTACAAATAAATAAAAGTCGTTGTAGTGTATTTTTTGGGTATTCTTTTAACGTTTAATCCAATCAGATGTCTATAAGAGAGCTTCGAAGAGTTGATTGCGCCAAATGATTTTATTTAATAACGGTTGAGTGTTGGTTAGTCTGCTACAGTATATTGATATCGTCGGTCGTTCCTAGACGAGCATCCTTATTCGTTAAGAGGTGAGATGACAGAATTTTAAGTCGTAAAACATCGCGTAAATTTATTAAAATACCACATTTTTCTGTTAATAATTTTACATTTTTATTTAAAGATAAGAAATGCGAGATGTTTTTTATTATTATTATTATTTTTTAAACGTTACTTAAAGATAAGTTACTGTTATCAACGGAGCAGGAAGATAAAATTTTGTCACGCTGATTTTAAAAATTAATTTAAATAATTACAGTAATTAGTCGTTGTTTTATTTTTCGATGTAGTATGAGCCTTACCGATCATTTATCTAACGTAACTACTACGATTGTCGTACCTTATCCACGTCCTGCTATCGTCTTCGCTTACGTATCTGCTATCGTATTCGTAATTGTAGGCTCACTAGGAAATCTCCTGACCATTTTAGCCTTATGGAAATGCGTCAAATTACGCCATGCCACTACAGTATTTGTCATTAGTTTATGTTTTGCGGATTTACTCTTTTGTTTTATCAATTTACCCCTGACTGCTTCACGATATATTCATCAAGCTTGGTTACTAGGTGATACCCTTTGTGTACTTTTCCCATTTTTCTTTTATGGAAACGTTGCTGCTTCTCTATTGTCTATGACTGCCATCACTATAAACAGGTAAGTGTACGTTATATATTACTATAATCTTTCTCAGAAGTTAATTAAGTTAATTATGGTGTAAATTATCGTCTAATTTACTTAATATATCGATAAATAAACATGAAATATATTCTAGTGAAAATTGATAAGAAGGAGTTTTATAACACGTAATAAAATTCATATATCGAAAAAGACAGCTTTATTAAATGATAATTTATTTTCTGGATAAGATATAATTTTACTTAAATATCAAATTAACACTAAATAATAATTACGTTTAAAAGAAAATTAAATTAAAGTATACAAGTTGCAACGATGATTCATACTCGTACGTGATAAATTAATATTAAAACGGTCTTATATTTATATAAACAAGGAAATTCTTGAGATTTTATGGAAATTTAACGAATCATCGTTATTAAATGAAAAATTACTGGAATAAATAAATAAATTATTTACGTGCTCGGCCACAGATAAGAGATAAAACAGCCATTTGGCTGTATTCTTCGACACAAAGATATCATTTATGACTAAATATGCATGTATATATAGATATATAATACTAATTTTAAATATTTATATAATTTTAAAACTAAAATAATATATTTAGAAACAAATTCCTTTTATTTTTAATAGAAATGATAATAATAATAATGCTGTTCAGAAGGGGGGAAACAACAAAAACTTTTTAAAGATAATTAATTACTTCAAGGAAATTTAATCTGCCGAAAAAATATACGAGTTAAACACGAGATAATATTTTAGTTTTAAAAGAATATATTCTATATCCATAATAAATAAAATATAAGTCAAATTGTTGGTGTTTTAACTATAAACCAGCGACGTTGTGAAGTTACACAATTGATTTACTCGAGTTATTTATTTATTTTTCTAAGATTTTTATTACTAAATTTCCGTTTGAATCAATCCAACATTATCTTCTGCATGTTTTCTCTTATCTAATGCAAATATATGTTTAATTAGTGAAAACAAAATTAATGAAACTTCGAAACTTCCGGACACGAACCTGTCCGAGGTTATGGATTATATTTATAAACAGAAGTTTCTAAGTGCGACTTTTTTTATATATATTATACTACAAGCTGCAATTAATTTACAGAAAATTAATTGCATTTAATTACCGAAATTTAACTTATATGACCTTTACACAAATTCGTGTAATTATTTTCTTTATCGATAAATTACACTTCAGATTATATATATATATATATAATAAAATGTTTCTATAAATTGTAGAAATATATTGATAATTTAATAATTGTTTGCAGATATGTATTGATCAACCATTATACCATTTACTCTAAAATCTATCAGAAACGTTACGTGGCCATCATGATAGCTTTCATCTGGTGTTTCAGCTTTGCCATTTTGATACCGACTCTAGTTAGGTCCTGGGGATATTTCGGTTACGATCCCCGAACATTTTCGTGTACAATTTTGTCCCTAAAAGGGCGATCTTCCAAGAAATTCCTCTTCGTCTTCGGATTCTTACTACCCTGCATCGTCATCATCATCTCTTACTCCTGCATATTTCTAAAAGTAATTATTCAAAGTTTCGGATATATTTTTTTAATTATTCGGTTTAAAATGTAATTATAAAATATTTTACAGGTTCGTCGAAGTGGCCAGAATGTATCTTCTCACGTTTCCAGTAACAATAGGAATGCCGAAAGACAAATGTCTCAAAGGAAAGACGAATTGAGGATTACTAAGGTCATGTTAACTGTATTTTGCTCATTTCTAATTTGTTTCCTACCCCTAATGATCGTCAATGTTTTCGATTCGGATATAAAGTAAGTTATCTGATTTCATTTTCAAGCATTTAATGATGATAAAATTAACTTAATAACGTTTAAACTCGTGTAGGTATCCAACCGTGCATATACTTTCTTCAGTTTTGGCTTGGATGTCTTCAACAATCAATCCATTCATCTATGCTGTAATGAATCAGCAATATCGTCAAGCTTACCTTCGTTTATTATGTCCTCGTTCTAGATATTGCAGTTCACCCGATTTGAAAGTTTCAACAAGATCCGGCAGCTCCGTTTTCATGGACATGTTTAATAATTCTGGAAAGAAGAAAAAGTTATGCTCCACTGACGATAACAAATCCAATTCAAATTGTCATCTGTAAATTATAACAGCGAGTAGAAAGAACAATATCTAATCTCAGCTTTGTTATTATATAAAATTTTTGGTATTTGCTAACGTCGGTGGCATATTACAATAGCCTCCGAGTTATAACTGATGAATTTTTTTTCGAAATTACATTAAAAATAATAATAATTTTTATAAATAGAATAGTGAGAAATCCGGTTAACCACTGTAAAGACTGATTTAATAAAAAAGAAAAAAAATTGTTAATGCTAAAACTCGAATAAAATCTTTATTAAGTCCGACTCCATTCGGGATACGATACGTGACCACTTCTATCTCCTCACCCCTTCGATCTTTAACTACGAAAATTTAATAACATCTATCCCCATAATACACAAACCTCCCTGCGAAATTTCGGAAATTTTCGACAAAAAGCACAGGAGTTATTAAGCTTCAAATTGAACAAAATCATGCCCCACACACACTAACATCCATACATACAGAATCCTCCTTCCCAAATTATTTGCATTTCTCGACGTTTCAAAGTCCAAAAAATGTCAAAATTTTGGGGACCATTTTTTCCACTGATCGCTATACATCCCCTCTGTTATATATGATAGCCGGAAAAGTAATACAACTGAATTCGATTGTATTTTAGTTTCCATCAATTGTGTAAAAGAAAATACGGTTAACCGACTTTTGGACCTCCCTGTAGTATATAAATTTCTTCATCAATAAAAAATGTTTAACAGAGACAAGAAATACAATGTAATAAAGTGTAAGTGGGAACACGCTTCTAAAGGCGCAGATCCTCTTCAGAGTGTTTTATTAAATATAAAAGTTTATGTACAGTACAATCATGAAAATTCCACGTACAATTTTAATTGTTGAAGTAATTATAATTCTTCTTTGGACGTATATAGACTGCAATGTGTGTTTTGGGTTAAAGTTCAACGTTTAGTACATTCTAGTGACCAATATCCGTTATTTTCTAGCGAAATTTTTTACTAGTCGGTTGAAATACAGTGTATATAGTGAAATGCAGTGAAATACAGTGCCTGTTATAAGTTGTCTCGACCAGTTATAGTCTTTTAAACACAGTTATTAATTAAACACGAGAACACTGCTTAACGTTTCGTTATCACTTTGACCACGATGGACGTCACTGTAGTTGTTCTATGCACTTTAACCGAAGTGGAAGAACGAATCTCTAATGGTGTCGAAGTATACGTCCGTAAATTTGGATGAAAAGTGAAGTCCAGTCGATTAAGTCGTAGCCGGGTGAAAGGTAACTTCGGGTGGCCGTGTCGCATTCGGTGGAAAGTCGAAATCCGCGTAAGAATTCCTCGGCAGAAAGAAAGGTTATGTTTTCCAGCAGCAAAACAACCTTTTCCACCAAGGTTTTTTACGCTCGACGGATTCTTCCACCATTTCTTCGGACTCCTTTCTGTCTAGTTCCGTCTCACGTGGCCTTGTCTCCACCGTCCATTCCGAAACTTCGGGGTATCGCCGCTCCAGATAATGGACGAGAGACGAAGCGCTATCGTCCGGAGTTACGACGAACACCCGTTTGACGTCGGGTGTATGCGACTCCTCCTCCGCATCTTTCGGAAGAATCCGTATTACACCAGGCGCCATTCTCGGGCTCGGCATGGTCCGTGGTGTGTCACTTCTTCAATTCTTTGAAATTATCCATTCTGCAAAAAAAACGAGCGACTGTTGTGAAAACAGAACTTGCATTAAGAAATATTCCTATTCTAATACAAAAATGATCGTTTTAATTCCTTTTAGAAAAGAGTATTATAATAAAATCTCTATTTATTATATATAATTATTTCTAAAGAGTGCTTTTGACGGATCATTACACCAGTTTGTCTCGAGCCTTTTACTCGTCCTCGCAGACACGAGCTACTATAATCAATTCACATAGAGTTAGGATATGCTCGAACACTATGGAACTGTCCATAAATTATGTCCGCATTTTTCTTGAAGCTTTTACTCTCTCCCATTTCGTCCAGGCCTTTGCAAGTTTCCATAACTTCTCCCCACTTCGGACGGTCCAACAAAACCTTTATCTTCTGTCTGGTGCACCGTTGAAAGTACTTGCTTGTATATATGTTATGGGCCATTATGAATAATGAGGAAAACGATGCCGCAGTCGGATAAATATTGATTCATTTACTGGGACATCGCGCGACTTTGTCGTATCAGGATAGAATTGAGGCGGAGCCGGAAAGAAAGCAATCCCTGCATCTGTTAGGCACAGAAGAAATGACCCTTGTACACGACGGACGTGGACAGCTGAACTTTGCACTTGCCACCACAAGAGGCTATCTTGTTCCTACCGGCAATGGGAAAGACGATCCTTGCACTGATGGGTACGGAGAGACGATCCAAAAAGAAAACAATCGCCATCGTTTGCTTTGTTCCTTATTCGCGTCTATTTTTTGTTAGGCACACGAAATGCTGTTTTTGTTTTTGACAACAAGGCTCTAAATTTCGCGACGCGCGCTCAGTGCCATCAGAGAGCATGGACACTGTCACTTTAATACCTCTGTATATTGACGAAGAAGTCATAGACTCATTACATTTTTGGATTCCTCATTGCAATTAATGGAAAATGACAAAGTTTTATCAAAATCGGCTCATTAAATTTTGAGAACGAACACAATTTTGTAAGCCACATAGAAGAGGCTCCACCTCAATTACTTTCTTCATTAAAAATTATTTATTTTTGTGAATTATCATAGACCTAAGCCATACACGTAATGTTATTAAAGTGTCATGTTTGACTCTTAATATCTCAAAAAGCAATGAACCGATTTCGATGAACTTTAACACATTTAGTGTCCATGATGAGTACTACGGATCTTTTCAATTTTGAATAATTCGTTGAATCGTTTTGGACTTACCCAATGGGCATTTTGTCTTCTAGATTTACGAGATAATAGCGATACCAAGCTTCATTAAGTCCGACCCCATTCGAAATATGACCATGGGCCGTATTCTGGTCACTATCTCTGGTCTCTCATCTCTCGCAAGCCGGTCGCTGATTGGCTAATCCAAATGATTAGCCAATCAGCGACCGGCTTGTGAGAGACGGTGACAGTGACCAGATTATAAATGCGAGAATA